AAACTTTTAATGACAGTAAAATAAACATGTTAAAAAAAAATTATCTTTGTATTTTGTAATAAGTATAAAAACTGTGTTACTTCCTTAGAAATTATATAATTATGGAAGGTTTTAATTTAAAAAAGTAAATCATAATCTTTGGTGATTGAAATTCCCATCTTTTAAACAGAATTTGAAGGACAAATGTCTGTCCGATACGTATTGGAAGTAACTTTTCGATACGATATTTTTCTTGAATATCGATACGTATCGATATATTGATACAGCCCTATCCCCGTTACCTCGGCTTGTTGATTTATCTTTGAATAATTATGAGTTGCTATTAACCAATACTTTTTATTTAAGAAAAAGCTTCCAAAGAAATAAAAATTATTTATAATATAAAACTAGAAAAGACAATTCAATTTTGACCAAGCTATTGGCAGCTTGAAACCAGAGTAAAAGAACTTATCAGTAGATATTTTAAAAGTTATTTTTATTTGTATTTACTACACTCTAGACACAACATTAACTTTACAAATTGATTTTTAAAAATATTTCTTAAATCAGAAGAAATCTACAGAAGCCCTGGAGGGACATTGACTTTTACTTGTAATGACTTATTCATTAGGAAGTTTTTTTATGCTGAAGTGTAAAGTTAACATGGAGAACGTGGTTGTTTGGCTTACGTTTATTATTGAATGACATATTTAATTCTAACTGAACTAATTTTTTATGAATTGTAGTCAGTACACAAACTTGCCTGTATCATATATCCAAGGACAAATAGATAATATTGTTATTTGTGCTATAAGCTATTTTCTGTTTGTCATCACATGATTATTTAAATCAAAACGTGACGTGAGTCATGGATACTATGTGTAGTTTCAGAAAAAAAAATAATATTTTGCCTTTTGTATTTATCAATAACAACAAGATAAAATGATAGTAATATTCATGTGTTCAATCATAATGCAATTTGGAAGTTACAAATGAGAATTAAGTAACAAGTATTAAGTTACAAGAAATAACATTTAGCAAATAACAATTAAATTATAACAAAAAATATATCAACAGATGAGAATTAAGAAGCCAAAATTATATAAGATATTAAACTAAAATTAATCAATTAAAAACCATACTTAAACTAGATCTTAACATATCATTTTAAGCCAAGCTACACATTCTACATAAATACGTTACAATTAGTTTTAACCAGCAACAAATAATTCATTAAAATTAAATCACAACAAAAGAGATATAACAAATAAGTCATAACAGGTATCCCTCCAGGGTTTCCGTAGAATCTATATGTAGAGAGTATTGAAATTTCATTTTTATATTCAAACGAATGACATATTTTGTGTACACCGCTTTAACTTTTGTTGTAAATCGTTAAAGAGCTATTTCGCAGTGATATTTTATTTAAATTCAGCGTTTTTCCGATGCTTTTGAAAACACGTACTGCGTGAATCTAAAATATTTGAGTGAAGGATTAAACTGTTAAAAGCATGGATTTGTGTAGCTGCGGAACTGTAACTCTCCAAAAAAATTTATATTGACAGACCAATGAGCCACCCATTGGAAAAAAACTATTTTTATTACGCTCAAAAAGTGCGCGCGGCCATAGATTAATTCTTCCAAATTCATTCCTCAATTGCGAAGACGACTACCTCAGAGCCACTATTTGCCGGAGGAGGACTGCATATTTATTCCTAAACTCGATACTCAGCGGCTTTGACCAGTGAGGAACTTTTTCATGACAACACCTACTGCGTCACGGGATCTTGGTTTATAAGTCTCATCCGAAGGATCGGTCTCCACGTCCCGCAGTGGCTTCGAAAACGCGACATAAGGATAAGCTTCGTAATCCTCGACTCGATAGTAGACTGCAGGACGTGGGCGACAGTAAGGGAATTTGGCTATTGAAAAGTTGAAGTCATTACAATTACCACATTTCTTTGATGTTAGGTTCCAATAAATGCCTTTTTCTAGTACGTTGAAAAATATCCAAATATGAAAAAGATTTGTCAGACTCTTTGGAATCTTCAATTTCACTCACCAGGTTTTATTTATCGTTCCGATATATGAAGTGTTACTGGAATTCTATATATTCCAAAAGCACGAACTAAATATTATATAATCTATTTTTTAAAGTTATAACTGCATACTAGTATTTATTTTGGAATCAGTTGCTCTCTTTGATAGTACCTGTAATTCTCTGGCTTCTTTAAAATCAGCGTATTTATAGCATTATAATTTAAACAAGTGTTCTGTAGAAATTTTTTTTTATTTCTTTACCTTATTAATGCACAGAGATCTTTTTAACTCATCTTATTTTATAATATGTACATACTACAAGTATATACAGGGCTATTTTCGTGGCGATTTTGCCCTTTTGCACTTGCAAAAATTTAGCTCGATTTAAAATTCCTCCAGTCAGCTCTGTTTAATCATAAAGAGGACGGAAACGGCGAAAATGTAAGGGGGCGAAAATGTCCCTGTATACAGTATATATCTTAGATAATATGCCATGTATAATTTTATCATTTTTATTCTTTTTTTTTATCTGTCTGTAAATATGTTTTAATAAGGAACACAACGCAAAAAGTTCACGTTCTGTATTGTCATGGAGAAAAACTTACTGTTTTTCATTATACTTTTTATTATCTAAAATATGTAATTAATTCTAATAATTCAAAACATTTTATTTTTTTTTTTATATTTTGTATTACTAGTATATCAAACCTCGTAGTAAAATTAATTATTGCAATAAATATTAAATTGTTTTTTTTTTGGCTAAAAAAAGTTTTCAGAATTTTTTATATAATTTAATTCAAGTTTTTGTTTAATAACTCTGAAGTGTCATGTTATTTATTACACATGTAAATTTACTTTATCGGTTATGCCAAAACTAAGGTTTCTATGTTCGATAAATAAAACGTTTTTCTAATGTACAGTGGTTTCGCTAGCTTTTTGGTGGGTAATCTTGTTGTACGAGGGTTGTCCGGTAAAATCGTGGACAAGTTGTCTAGCGTAAAAGTAATTATCATTGCGTTCTGAATTTTTCACTACTATTTTGTACATATTTTCTGAATAATTATAGCAAATTTCAAAATGATATATGCGTAAATAAACAAATTATGAGATTTTATTTTATGTATTGTATCGCATTACGGCGCACGGATGATAGCGCCAAAGTGTCTAAAACAGCGTAACGTTTCATCTTTGCCATAAAAATAAAGTTGGATTAGTCCCACTAAAATTTAGAAATTTCATTGATGCACCTAATTTAGTCTCCATAAACAGTTGAGGTACAAATCTGGCACAAACGTGTAATCTTCTGATGATTTATGAAGTTACGGAGAAGATTCCAACCATCATTCAACTTATACAAAAAATCCTAATTGACGGTCAACAGTGAGAGCGTCTTTTTCTGTAACAGTTTGTCCGTATGTTTTGTACTACCTAGGGACTCAATCAAGAAAGACTTCACTAAGAAAACTCCCATTTCAATTCTTTACTAAAGATCTGTTGATTCATTTATTAATTTTTTTCTTCTGTATTAATTTAAAGTCTTATTAAACCATCTTAATCAAACTGAACTGATCTCCTGTGCACCGTAACGTCGTCAAACGTCACCATTTTTCGTTCGTTGTGTTTACCACTTTCCCATTTCGAATGCTCAGGAAACTGCCAAAAATTAACCTAATGCTTTGAATTGTTGATAAAGAAAATAGAAATAATTGTGGAATAACCCAATCTTATCTATATAAATGTTTTATTTCGAATCAATACTCTCGTATTCTCTAATAAAACCTTCGGTTTATTGACCCTTCGCCGTTGAACCATACCCTGTGCATATTCAAGCATAATGAACTCTTTATTATTGTCTATGTTTTATCAAAAAAATATGATGCACTTAAATATGATAAATAAACATTTTCTGAAAATTTCAGTTCAGTGCACCAATTATTATTCGAGAAAAACACTTTGTCCACGATTTTACCAGACAACCCTCGTAAATATCTTTATAGCATCCATTTGATGTATTCCATGATTGATAAGTTCTATGTTAAGGGATTAATGAAGTCCCTAGAATTATTTACCTGGCCAAGTTTGTTTAATTAGTTGCGTCACAAAGACCTTAAGATTAAGTGGACAAGCAATGACCAAGTGATCTTTTGTTATGCAATTTTTCATCAACCATTATCTCCTAAATTATTTTCGATTGGTTAAAAAGAAAATCATAGATTTTTGAGTTCAGCAGGCTGTGCGTAACGGCTGGTGACTTTTCATTATTGAATATAACCAGCCGGATGTTAGCTTATTCTTGCCTTCTTTTAATGTATATAGCCACAGCAGACAGATCTATCCATTTGGTCGAGAAGCTGCCCAAGTCTGTGTCCATAATCCAAATAAAAACAAGAAGAGGAAACAGAAAAGGGTGTCACTGGTGAACGATCCGAGCTATTTCCCAAATTCCGAAACACAAAAGGGTATTACTTTGTCATATTATCATTTTCAACTGCAGATTGAAAATTAATAAAAAGACAGTATTACTGATTGTGCAATAAAAAATATTATTATGAATTTAAATAACTATTGTATATTGACAATATGTCATCCATATCGAAATTTCGAGTTGAAGTCAACAAGTATCATGGATAGGATTTTGAACAAATTCTGCTTCATATGAAGCCCCCCCCCAAAAAAAAACAAAAAACAAAAAACAAAACAAAAACGGGACGCAATTGTTACAAGAAAGAGTTCCAAGAGAACCAAATAGACAATCAGAAACTGGGGCATCTTTTTGATAAAATCTTCAGGGTACTGAATCGAACAATATAAAAGTATCGTATCATGAATTCATGAACATGTATGAAGTTAAATTATCAAAAGTCTTCCTGTGAAAATTCAAAACACAAATATTTGCAAAGCAAGTCAAAGGTCAATTGGGAAGTAACCTTTTATTTCAAACAGTGCGCATACAAAAATATAGCAATTGAACTATTTTGATGTTGTTTATTATGGTTCTTAAAACAACACAGTTCTACACAATTTACATATATAAAAAGGAGATGATAATAAAAGTGAAAAAAAAAACAGAAGAATAAAAGACGGGTCTCCGGCTGGGGACGGAAACCCATAAGAAAAAGACACAAAATTTTCTATTTTGGATATGTTTCACTGTTCAGTACACTACACCTCTTGGTAGATAATTCCTGAGAGACTTTCACCCATTTCAGTCATTTCTTGTCTGATTCTTTCAATTTCCATTTTAAGGGTTCTCAAGGAAGCTTCTTTATCTTTTAATACCTGTCTCTCCGATTCCAGATTTTCCAATGTCAAGCGTAGTGCACGTATTTCTTTCGGCATTTCTTCGCCGAAAATTTTGTTGATCGATTTCTTGTACTCTTTACCAAAGGACGCAGCAAATTTTTCCTCTAGATCTTCTCGACTTATTTCTGCGATGCATTTATCATATATTTCATTCACCTTTTTCGTATGCCATTCTGTACCCCAGAAGTAGCTAAATACAAATAAAGTAGGAACAAAAACGATAGACATCAAGGCACTTACTACAAAAGTTATAGGAAATAAAAATGACATTAACCCAAAGGCAGCAGATACCCCTGCAACTTCATAAAAATTGTCGGATAACTGGACTCCAATAATTCCAGCTCTGATTTCCTGGATCCGAAAGCTCATTTCTTTTACAAAGGATTCCATACGGCTTTCTGCATCGGCCGTTATTTCTTTGCATTCACTACCAATGCACCATCTTCTCACGCCTGCCTCTATTCTCCTCGGTATTTCAGTACCTAGTTTAAGATATGAAATTTGTTCAATTGGAGGCAATTCAGGTGGGTTCAAGATCTTCTCCTTTCCATGGAAATTAAGGTAACTCCAAAGTTCAAAGGCAAGTTCTTCTATTTTTCTATCACAGTCCTCAAGAAATTCCTTACTTTTCTGTTAAAGAAAACATATTGTAAATCAGCTGCAAAATTATCGACAAAAATTTTTATTCAAATTAAATTTCTATTTTTTATTGTTACAGACTTGTACGGAAGCCGGTAGGTGCCAGGTACAAAGAATTTTTCTGGCGGCCGCCAATTAATTGTTTTCGTGGTGGCAGATTTTCGATTCTTATCTTTTTTTATTTTGAATTGAAAAAGATGGAGATAACAAACAGTGATCGATCTCCAAAAATCAAAAAAAAAAAAAAAACTAGTTGTCCAAACGTACAAAATACCACCCCCCACCCCCATCCCCCCACCCCACTGGGTTTTTTTTTCAGAGGTAAGTTTTTCCAAAATAAAGATATGTATTAAGATGAATAATGAATTTTTTTTCCAGTGACCTTAAAGTTCTTCAAATGACTTTGGTCAAGGTCATGATACACCCTTGGGTCATGGGCAATCTTTGTGTGAAATGAGATCCTACCAAATTTATCCATAAGAAAAAAATGGACCGGACACAAATTATGAAATTTTTCTTCCAGTGACCTTGAACTTCCCCAAATGAACTTGGATCAAGGTCATAACACTTAGATCATGGGCAATCTTTGCATGAAATGAGAATCTGCCATCAAATCCATAAAAAAGATGTGGACCGGACACGAATTATGAAATTTTTCTTCCAGTGACCTTGAAGTTCCCTAAATGACCTTAGGTCAAGGTCATGACATACCCTTAGGTCATGGACAATCTTTGCGTGGAGTAGTAGATTCTCATGTCCCTCTTTAAGACGTTTTAGACGTAAGTAGGGTCATAAGTATGTTTTAGGCACATTTTTTGGACATGTCTAAGACAAATTATAAGTTCGAGTAAGTATGTCTTAAACCGTAACATAAAACGAACTACATGTACAAACTATGAATCGTACTAGTTTTTCAATTTATTCAATGGCATACAAAATACTCAGTTGTGTTTTCATTATATAAAAAAATATACATTCTTTCAAAAATGATTCTTTATTTTAAAAGAAAACAAGTCATTGGTTTTTGTTTTATATGTTCCTTTGTTTAGACAATGTTCACTCCTTTCAAATGTCAGTCTTAAAGACGTGACATGAAAATTGACTGTCTATCTACGTGTGCTTTAAATAATAAATCTAATACACAAAAGAACTAAGCAATAGGGACATTTTGAATAACCCCATCCCAAGGAATGCTAGTTGATATATTTTTGGTATTTTTGTCTCCGATATTGAATTTACCTTATCCTGAGTCTATACAAATTGACTAACAGGATGTACATTAAAGTTTCAATATCAAAATGAGGTTCGATCCGTTACTAATTAATATTTTTCAACATTTGTAGATCTTTTTTCCTGTAAGAACAATTTCTTGATTTTTTTGCAAGATTTCATTATTTTTATATGTAAAATTTCGAGAAAAAAATCCTTTGAAGAAAAACTCTCATCTACGGAAGCCCTGGAGGGATATTGACTTACTTGTTATGACTTTTTTATAACTTGTTTGTTGTGACTGAATTGTTAGGAATTACATGTATCTGTTGCTAGTAAAAACTCAGTGTAGCATAGCTATGTAGAACGTGTAGCTTGGCCTAAAATGATATGTTTAGATGTAGTTTAACTATGGTTTTAATTGATTAATTGTAGTTGATATTACAACGAAAACTCTGGAGGGACATTGACTTACATCTGATTTGTTTTGACTTAGTTCTTATGATTTAATTGTTACTTTTTTAATATAAATTTCTTTTCGCTCGTTTATTTAATCATTAACGTGAAAGAGGTTACGTGAAGTTTTAGAAAAGAAAAAAATGTTATATTTTGCCTTTGAATCTATTACTAATGACAATAAGATAATATAGTAGTTATGTTTTCAATCAGTCTGCAAACTGGAAGTAACAAATAAGAATTAAGTGTTAATAATTAATTAAGTATCACGAAACAATAAATAAGAATAAACAAATAAGAAATAAGTAATAACAAAAATTTAGGAGGTACATGTAGTAACAGATAAGAATTTAGTAGTCATTGGTATAAGATCAACAGTGTATTAGACGTTAAGGAGGCTAGGGGGCCATCTAATTAATTTTTTATTTACCACCAGATATAACTTAAATATTGGGATAAGATATCTTAAACTGTCAACTATCATTTGGTAAAGAAAATTATTATAAATTTTAGCTTTAAAATATTAACATTCTATTATATCTTTAAATTGAACTCTTTTTCCAATGGAGATCAAAATAGTCTAAAAATGGCTACGACTACCCAGCTTCTTTAAACTACAATAAATAAATCAAACACAATAATTAATTTATGATAAAACATCTCATTTTGATAATAAATATTAGCCAAGGTACACGTTCTCCAATCTTCGAAGCTAAATTACACTTAAAATTATAACCAGGAACGAAAAATTATTACAAATAAGTCAAAACGAATAATTCATAACAAATAAGTCATAACAAGCAAATCAATGTCTGTCCAGCGCTTCCATACTCCACTATGTTTCTAAATTAAGTTAAAAACATATTTATGGGCCACATTCTAACAATTTTACTAAAATTTTACATAAAATTTAAAAACAAAACATTAACAATTAAGCCATACTAACCTTTTTACAATCAGTCTCAAGGGCATCCGTTTTAGCCGTGGCATTTTCTATTTCCTTTTGTTTGTCTTCTTCGCTCTTTGAAAGAAATTCCAAACGACCAAGGCATCCTAATTCAGCATGTTTCATGAAGTCCTCCAAAAAACTGATAAAACGAAATAAATAAACTGTTTAGTAGACTTTTCAAACTGGAATGCTTTTTCGGTTCTTTCACTAAGGTGTCCTTTGTACCGTATATACAATTATGACCTGATTAGTAGGACCAATGTGAGAAGAGGTGAAAATATAATGTTACATTATTATTATTGTTAATTCACACGAGTGTCAACGACTTATACACAAAAAGGCTTTTAAAGCTTTCTCTCTGTTTATCAATTCATAAGGTTATTCCTCCTTAGATCTTTGGAGTATCTTCCTAAAGGCGTTTCTCTTTTAGTCCTTATACATGTAACACCAAGTTAACCACTCAATAAACTTTCTTGAAAGCCAATTAGGACTAATGTGTTGATAAGCATGCTCACGGAAAGTTCCCTTTTTTGTTAAGTCCTCTAAAATACCAGTATCTAAATTGACTCCAGACATCCCTATACATTTATATTTGATTTTATTTTTCTCTCTATATCTTTACCACGTTTAGAATTTCTTCTCTAAAAGAGATATATGTTTCGTGTCTTTGCATAATAATTGATCAAAAATTATTAGTGTCTTGTTACCTTGAAAAGCGCAAATAATGCTTAACATTGAAATATGAAAGGAAATAAAACATTTACCGTACCTGAAATGATTTCTAAATCGATGGTGTACATTCCTTCGAATATTTTTGTCAAGGATTTCTCGAAATCGAGTATATTCACTTGTATATTCGTTTTCTGTCTTGTTAATTACCTTAAAAAAGACCAGATTAAAATAAAAAAAATATGTATAAATAAGTTGTATCTCTATAATGTTAAATCGTCTTCAACATTCATTAGAATTCCCTAGCATAAAAAAGCGAAGAAACTTTATATCGAATGTTCACATAAATTTCTTTTAAATATGTATAAGTCAAATAAGTTTACCATTCATGCATTTTTTTTCAATATTATGTTAGTCCTCGTAAATGAAAAACATGTTTTAAATTTGGAAGGCTTGTACCTGCTTGAGGGAGACTCTGAAAATGTTTTTCTCATCAATCTCAGGCCAGCACATTGTCAGCTTTTCGTTGATTATTCTCCATGTTTTCTCCTTCCCGCCCTCTGTTTCATCCTCATCATCATCATCAATATCTTCTTCCACAATATCCCATTGATTTGTGACAAATAGCACTTCTTTACAATTAAAGCAAGGCATTTTGTCACGGTTATCAAGAATGGACTTAAGAATGTCTTTTAACTGCAAAAATATATAAGACTTGCAAAAAACTGAACATGATTTAAAGCTATGTTTGGATCAATGTTGTAATTTTGTAGACTGAGACTAATTTCTAGGAACTAATTGTAGAAGATCTAAATAATCAGTCTTTGCCCTGGAATATACATGATTAATGTTTTTTTTTACACTTATTGAATTTATGTCGACATTTTAAACGACCAAAGTCTTTCTTCCCTCTCAAGCGATCCCACATATAAATTCTTTAGTTCTTTAATATTCAAATGTAGCATTCTATTTAAAAGAATGCAAACATATTAAAAACTTTTAAAAAGTGTCTGAGATGATGTATAACTGACAGCTTTGAAATTTGAAAAGAAGACTCACCCTTCCTTCCTGAACCCCTCCGGCATTCCTGGCATTGACGACAAAAATAAATGAGACTGCATCAGGTAAAAAACCCAACAGGATTTTGTCAAGTTCTTTACTTTCTCCAATTCCTGGCGTATCTACAATGATTACACTACCCTGTTTTGGGTGTGTTAATGTTATTAATGAATAATTAACAAACAGGGCGAAACGACCAATTTAATATACGCTTTAGAGAATTCAGGATCATAAATGTAAGTGTTTATATTTTAGAAAAATCTTAAGTTTTTATATTCCATATGTTGTTTCTATTTTTGAAAACAAACATGATTTATATGAAAATATGTGATATCGATTTTAAGTTGAATGCTTACCTCTAGTATTTGAAATGGTAGCAAAACATCGACAAAGTAGATTTCCTTTCTGTCCTCCTCAGTCATTGACTCGACGTCTGTGCCTCTTTTTATCATTTTCTTCAACTCCTTTAGATCTTCTGCGTTTTCTTCTTTTTTCATTTCATCTTGTTTTGTGTAGTACTTGCAAGCTAATGTTTCTGAATTACGGATTCTACATATTTTTCCTGTAGCTGCTACATTGCTAGCTACAAATATCTTTTCCCCAACCAGACTATTTATCAATGTTGTTTTTCCAGCACTTGTTTCTCCTGCAGAATGAAGAACAGGAATCTAGAATGTTCTTTAAATAATTATTTATACGCGGATTCCAAAAGAAATAACATTATATTGATGTTTAACAAATGTTTGACTTTAAAGGGGAAAATTGCCACCTTTGTTACCTTTACCATTCTAATACAAACGACATTTTCTATAGATAGTGATTAGGAGTAAAGTCAGCCCTCTGCCTCTCCTCCCTTGCTACCTGCCTGACTATACCTAATCCAAGTTTTCACATTGGCTAATCGAACCTTCTTCATGTATGAATTTTAGATAAAGATGTATACCTTTTTAATACCTTCAAGTGTTTTTCTGATGTTGAAAAAAAAAATTCATTGTTCTGATTGTTTGCAAACATTCTTCTCAAGAACCATTGGAGAGATAATCATCAAACTAGTGTAGGACCTGAACACACAATTGTTATTATAGAGTACTTCTTGAGAGTGCAAAATCTTACCGTCAGCCATGACTTAGCAATGTACCAATTGTCTTGCTAAAGGTGTAATGATTTTTATTATTAAATTAATTAAGGTGACTGAAGGATAAGCTACACTATTTGAACGGAGCATAACACATATACAATTTTGTAGTAAACACCATGTATATAAAATATAAGCACCTGTTATAACTATGCTGCTATCCTTCTTAATAATATCTTTTTTCCTATTTTCCAGAATATCCATGTAATTCGGAATTTTCTTTGACAGCTCATCTCTCAGACCTTCATCATACTCTTTCATTTCAAGAAGTCCGTGGATTTTCGTTAGGATAGACGTGAGCCTCCTAACCCCTTCTTCTGGACTCATTGCCATGATAAAATTATCTTCAGTCTAGTTTTGAACTCCACCTCTGCGGAAAAAAAATGTTTAGGATATATATAAATATAAATATCTTTATAATTGTTCTGTTGCTTTTCCATTTTATAAATAGTCGTTTCATCCATGTCTGATAAACAAAGGAGGAATAGATTAGGAAATTGGTATGCCCAAATCTTTTGAAAAATGGCTGGAACAATGTTATGAATCCCAAAGTTTATAACGATATTTGTATGAAAGTTCGATTTCGCAACCGTATATGTATAAAGCGATTTAAAACTTATTTCATATATCCGACCCATATTAGGACATTTTCTAACCTTAAATTTTCATCCTGTATTAATTTATTCTGAAACTAATTCAAAGAAGTTTGTAGTAGTAAAGGATTTCCCAGGTCAATTTTTCAAAAATATAATTACCTGATCAGTAATTAGATAATGAGGAATGCATCGAGGTCTATTGGAACAAGCATATATTTAAAAAATAATAATTCATTTTCTGTAAGGACCTCGGTTGCAGTTCAGGCGAATATCACAGATTTTAATAAAATAAAACATATATATAAAAAAAATCATAAATGTGCATAAGATTAATTAGGTATATTTAAAAATTTGGGATGCGACCTATTCTCCAGGTTATGACCCCCTAACGCATTTTGTGGCTACCCCCATGTTTGAAATGGCCAGTTTTCTCCTAATTTGACATCAAAAATCAAAATAAATAATGCACTCTGGTTGGATTAATTGCATTAATATGTGGAAACAAGATGTGAATCAAAGATAAAAAAAATATTTTGCTTTATCATTAACACCCTTTTTTATATCTTAAAGAAATTTAATTTCCTCGCCTTTTAAATCCTTAATCAAAAGGCTAAATGACCATAATTTCAGTGCCTTTTTATGAAAAATCCCAAGATAGGTTTGTAAAATATTAACAACATTTTGAAGGCAAACATACTTGATTATTTATTTATTATTATTTTTTTTTTTTGGATATGTGTTTTTTATTTTAAAAAATAAAATGCATTTGAAATATTAAAAAAAACTGGCATTTCATAAAAATATTATCTCCCTTTGAATAACTCTCTTGTTCCAACAGTGAAAGGAGGTAAAAACAAACACTATTTGTAAGCATGACGTCTGGATCGAGTTCCTTTTTACAAAATATGTATTTTATTGATATTTTTATACAAAGCTCATAAGTGCTTAGATTATACAATTCAGCTTCCTTAGAAGATGTGATAATGCTTCTTCAGAATTCAACAATGCATGATTTCAACATTGACAAGATTTAAATCAGTTTGTTTAAAGTAGGTCATATGCCATATGTTGCATTTGCTGAATACCATGAATACAGCGAATGACTATCGAATGTGCACGGGTTATTTTGACTTTTCTTTAAAATTAAATACAAAGAAGTCAAGAAGGAAGCTATGTCAAATTCCAAGTCTTCTTAGAGATCGAGTCAGATGGACTAAGAATTCGCTTCCAAGTAGAACACGTGAAATGTGAAAATAGGAGTTTGAAGAAGAGTGAAATCCTTCTTTAATTTGGTTTAATTAAGCTGGGGCAATGAAAAAGTTTTTATATATGATGTAATATTTATAAGTAGTAGGGAATTAAACACTAAACAGCTGTTAAATCAATGAATGTAAATTTCATTGTACATGTACATATTGAACACACTGTAATGATGTATGTTGTATATTTTGTAAAGAAAACATTTCTAAATGGAGATTTAACCTCGCACCCAACATCCCCCTTTTCCCGTCCACCCATCTACCCTAATTACACATAAATTATCCAATTGACAGATTTCAAAATCAAGAGACTGGAGGAAAGTACAACTAAAGTAGAAAAAACATTCTAATTTTATGAACGATCAATTGATTGTTTTAGTGTAATATGAAGATAAAAAACAGTGATCGACCTAAAAAAAAAAATAAACAATACATATATAAGATTGCTTATTGTTTTTGTACTCCATGTCGGCAATATTTCAGCCATATTTCTGCGGCATACATATTTTTGACGGGGAAATAAAAACAAACCCCTGGAAAACAAAATCCAGAGATGGGGTCAAGGGCGAAGAAGGAAGGATGCTCTGATGACTGGGGAAAACATAAAATTGTTTTCCATTCAGTGGTGTAAGCGGAAATGGAAAGTTATTTTTTTCCTATAAAAAAAATGCGCCTATTCATTGTGTTAAAGTCTAAAGAGCAAAAAATATTTTTTAAAAAGACTTATGTTAGCGGACAACAAAGGAACGTCAGTCGACCTTCAATCTGATAATCTTTCTTGGGCACACAGCTTGGACATGCTTATGAATTTGCAAATCTGTTTTGTTTGTAAAGAAAACCATTTTCAATTTTTTTTTTTTTTTAATTGTTTTTCCTGTGATCCGATATGTCCTCAGTATATATTGAAATCAATCATTGAAATCTTGAGATCTTCAGACCATTACATAAATTAGATAAGGATCATGGTTTAAAATTATTTAAAGTTATTTACAACAAATAACATTTTTTCATTCCAATAATTTTCCCATATGATTCTTTTGAAAATAAAATTCAGTATACCGGGGGTATTTTCTCATGAACTACATTAAATATGTACCACGGATAAACATGAATATCTCCATTGTTACGTCATAATACCGCTCTTGACGTCAAAAAGTCAAAAAATATAGTGCACACTGCTTTGTTTTAACAATTGAACGGTGTAAATTTATGGAAAGTCATTGAAAAAATAATGTAAATATATATAGGATCTCCCATGATTTATAGTTGGATATAATTTTTATCCAACGAGTTGTGTGATTTTTATCCCCGAGCCTTGACGAGGGGATAAAACACACAACTTGTTGGATAAAAATCATATCCAACTACAAATCATGGGAGATTCTTTTTATCCCATGTTTAATGCTTCACAACCGATGTTATACACTGTTTTATATAGCACTCCACTTTATTTTATTTCTTCACGCTAACGCAATACCATTGTGAGGTCATAACTGCACTTAAGTGTGGGATATGAAAAATTTATCCAATGGGTCATATCCACGGGATAAAGGGGTAAACATGGGATAAAAGAGATGAATGTAATTTTTGAAGATTCATGAACTACGACGCTTCACGCAGGCATAACGCGCTTCATGAAATATGCCGGAGTGAAGTGTCGTAGTTCAAAACCTCATGAATCTTCAAAAATTAAATTCATTTCTAAAATATATTCCATTTTAATGACAAGTATATAATATCAACCTTTAACAACTAAACAAAACAATTGTCATTATGGTTATCAAAAATCAAAGAAGCGTTAACATGTATTTGGATTAATTGTCACACAACCCCCAAAACAGAATGAAAAACAACCTTGGCAATGGATGGAAAATTTATCCGTAACCGTTTGCGCGGTGTTTTGATGTTTTCAATACTTAATAGAAATGTTCTTTAAATATGTATATTAAGAATAATGTTTTTACGTTCTAAGACAGATTCTTAAAATATTGTCGAAATTAGAATTACTATAGTATATACAAAGGAAACATTATTGTTCAAAACATCAAAGTCTTTATAGAGAAAAAATGAATGCAAAAATAAGAAAACAAATACTTACTTTCTTTGGTAGTTCACGTCTACAACTCAGAAAGCTATGTTTTTATTCGGCTTTTAAGGACGCGATTGCACGGCGTCACGTGATGGAGTCATGTGGTGATAAAAAAAATAATGTTTAAAAAGCGTGATATGTTTTCGCTCATGACAAAAGGGTTTGTTTTTTTTAAAGAAGTTTAAGAATAAGATATTAAAGGTTGTAACGATAGACTGAGAGTTTTGGTAAACGTTGACTTTTTTTGTCTACATACATATTTTACTGACGATTTGACAAATATAGCTATATGTGTATCTGATCACATTGAAATATATTACATTAAAAATAAATCTAATCTATATCTTGAGGTTTATGTCCTCATTTTCAAATTAGAATTTTATTTAAGATATTTTTTACGCTCTTCATCTACGTTAGATTACTTTTTCCAAATAGGGATTCAGACGGCGTGATTGAAATGACGTGTATAAATGAAATTTACATTTGCTTATATGACAATATAAATTATTTTGACTTTAAATTTTCAATGACATGCAGGAGACGATTGGAAAGTCTTAACTTTGACGTCATATGATGACGTTCATGTGCGTTATGTCGCATTTCAATTCCAAATAGTGCTTATTTTTCATTGTTATAGGAAAAAAGTAAAATATAAATATAAGAAATAAGATATCATTTTTAAAGTTTCATTTGGATATGACATGAAGTCGGTACGTGATCAAATCTTCTATAACGCCCTTTGGGCGTTATAGAATTTGATCACGCGACCGACTTCATGTCATATCCAAATGAAACTTTAAAAATGATATCTTATTTCTTAATTGATGAACAAAAGCGCGTTTGATATACGTGATAAGGTGAAAACCACATATGCCAAGAAAACATATTTTTATAAAAAAAAAAACAATTGCAGAGGATTTTGTTTTTTCCTATAATCTTGAGCACTCTCAGCAGTGACATCGACTATAAAAACATTAAATCATCGTCGCATATATAGTGTAAATTATTGTTGTAAAATGTTTTGTGCATTGTATTAGAAAAAAAACAACACACTTCAGTCCAGAGAGGGACTGAGGATTTGTACATAAAAAATATATAAACTCATCAAGATGCTTATGGGAATATACTTGAGAAATGAATTGAAATTTTAAAAAATCACAAGGAAATGAACATATATAGATGTTTCACTCCAACATATATCATGAAGCAACGCATTGTTATTCCAATCAACGATTATTTTTTAATCAAAACAGTACTAGATCTATAGTTTTGACGTTAAGTGTGTCCTTATGACGTCAAAATGGTGAAAACGCTCATCCATGCACAGGGGAAATTAATTGAAGTGTTCTTTCACATGCAATGAATAGGAAGGAAAAAATATTTGTAAATGTAAATATTTAAATTAAAATTCTACTATAATTTGCTCAATAAGATTATTCATTGATGAAGATATTTATTTCAAAAAATATAATGCAAATACAAGTTCCAGGTTACTAAGAAGACACATCGCTGAGTGTTCAAAGTATTAAGAGTTAGGTCTTTGAGGACTGTGCACTGGTTTAGAAATATATTACATATTTAAACGTATATATACTGATAAAATAACAAAATGAATGTTTTGGAGATGAAAAACTGAGTTTGAAGAAAGTGACAACTGTGGATGATAAGTAAATCATTATGCATCACATAAGAAATGAGCATCAGCTTCAAGATTTCAGAGATAAAGTGTTTATTTATCTAAACATATGGCCTTTATATTGTCTCTTAACAAATTATGCATATTTAAGGTCCAAAAAACAAACCATCATATGAAAATCTGTGAAATCTTTAGAAGATTTACCGATGCAATTGAGGATAACTCTTGAATTGCAAAATTTCATAAAAACGTCTATATATTTTGTAAGAAATTCAAAACTGAGTCAAAAGTTTTCCCTCAGATTTTATTATTGAAACAGAAAGATGAAATAATTCTAGATTTATTATTTCATCGTGATTTATAGTCCTGTTAAAAAAAAATATATTGAAAATTACTGTTTCTGACCTGAATCCAATGGTTTATATATGGGAACTCAAGAACACGAAAGAAAAGAATATTTAACTACATAATCAATTTTCAAACAAATCTTCGATTACATTATTTCATTTGGACTACATTGATATTGTTTTCAATAAAATATCAAATATTCGTCACATTCGGTGTGCCGACTATCAAATCAATACTGCCTGGTTGTTTCGGTGGATTGCCTCTTAATATTCTAGAAAGGAGGTTGGGGGTACTGAAATGCGTGTAGCTTCAAAATGAATCCGATTAAAATTACTTCATATTTTAACTATAAGTCACTTATAATGACTAGTACAGCATATATCAGTTTCGGAAAAAATCATTGGGTATTTTTTTTTTGTCCCTTTATACATTTGCAATGTTCATTTCTAATTATGCTCCGCAAGCTACGCTTTAATTGTATGTATTTTACTTATGAAATACATTTCTTTTAGAAAATCAAAGATCTAGCAAAAATTTATGTAAGGAAGCAGAGGGTTTATGAAGCTTAAGAATAGAATTCTTAGAAATTCATAATATAATGTTTATATTGTAATATAATGGTCTTTTTATATAAAACAGAGAAACAAAAAAGAATGCTAACTGAACCTGACTTAATATTTAACGATCAGCATCATCATAATAAAGAAATATTACACACAATGATGAATATACTGTATATAATGTGAGAAGTACATAATATATTGCTGTGTTACTGCATATAATGTTAGAACTACCTCATATAATGTTAGAACTACCGCATATAATGTTAGAACTACCGCATATAATGTTAGAACTACCGCATATAATGTTAGAACTACCGCATATAATGTTAAAAACATTTCATATAATGATAGATGTACATGATGTTATGACATCATCTACAGCATACAATGGGAGTTGCACAAGATATTACGTAAAACTTACTTCATATAATTAAAATAGTACCGCAAATAATGAATGATAAAATGCATATAATGTTTAATCCCCATATAAAACAGTCACATAAAGAAGGTTAATAAATGCGTGTCTAAACATTCTTGAGATAAAGCTATTACAAATTATCCTTTGCACAACATGTAGAAATTTAGTAGGACATGATTTCTTTGAAATCGGTCTTAAACAAGGACTCCTGGTTTTTCTGTTTAATCCGTTTTAAATTTTAAAATTAATTCATCAATCATTCTTGAGAGATAAAAATATTTTACAACAAATCAGTTAGTTTGTCCTTAACACATTTTAAAGAAATATCGCATGGCACGATTTTTTGAAATCGACAATTCTGGTTTTTCTGTCAGTTTAGTGTTTTTAATGGGTACTCTCATAATGTTGAAATTATCAAACAAAATGATCTAATATTTTAATAGAGATAAGAGTACAATGTACATCATTCTTAATTTGACTTAGTACCATGTATAACATGTATAGAACTAGCATGTTTAAAAGTGCTCATTTCCTGATATGGACACGAGCTATTTTATCAAAACAATTTTGTGCATTTCCCTTTCCTTCTTATGAGGAAATTTATTCTGCACATAAACTCACAACACATTATAATAATGTCTTCAGAGTAATTTCACATATAAAAAAAATGAAAAAAGCGAATAATTTGTATTGTTTAATAGATTAAAATTAAAATACGGTCTTTTAAAATCAAATAAAAATGTTTGTTTTGAGATCGTTACACATAATTAGTATTTAATATCAGGATTTTGATACTTTATCCATTTTTTCTATCGTTGATTTCTGGCTATTTTTAGACTTATCACTTTTCAACTTTATATACAACCATTATTCACAATTAACAAAGGTCCAGATTTTTTTATACATGTTAAGGTCATACGCAACGTAGTTTGAACTATATTGGGTTCTTCCCTGAAGAGTTCTTCTAAACGAAGGACACATGTGCAATACTTTTAATGTTTATATATGGATTTGTACACCTCTTCTAAAGCAAATTTTTATTAAAAATCTGGAATTCATGTTTTATAATTTTTGTATATTTTTCTTTAAATAATGCAAAACTTTTCATAATTTGATATCTTTTCAAAACACCTGGTAACACATGCTGATTTTTTGTCTAAGAACATCTAATAGTATTAGAAGTTTAAATGTAGAATATCTTGAAAAATTATCAGTAGGTGAGGTACCTTGCGTATGTTCTTAAATTATCATTGTAATCTTTTTTTCTTTATTCAATACAAATAGAACGCGTGCATTTACTAACCTTTTCGTTGAAAAATTATTTGGTTAAAATAATTATGAATGTACGTTCAAGTTATTTGAAAATGATATTAAAGAGATGCTTGAGTTTCTGATTGACAATATCTATGTGGTTTTTTCGATTACAGGTTTTCCAACAATCTTTTGGAATTCCCAAGGGTACGTATTGTGTCCCGTTATAAGCAGACTTTTTCGTATTTGACATTTATTTGTATTTGAAATCTTTTTCGTGGGCGCTTAGTAAAATTTGACTGTAATTTTATAAATGTACAATAGATAATACTCATTTATATATGAAACAAACTAATCAGATTGAAGTAAACAAGTTATTCAATGAATTTGGACAAAATCCTAGAACTTTATAAAATAAATTGTAATTTAAACATAAGCTTTAGTTACGAGGAGTTTCGTGGACTTAAGCTTATAAAATTAGTAGTGTTTAATCTGTTCTTTCAAAATTTATATTGAACATAAAACAACAAAAAATCAAGAAATATTGAAAATTTTAGCCTGACACGTTCATCATTTGCCAAATTGTTATAAAATGAAAATGACATTATATGATCACCCGGCGCTGTTGTCGTTTATTTTCATGACGTCCGATAAGGTCATTGTTTTTTCAATGTCCGCTTCTTCTACCTCATACACTTATTTTGATGAGATTCCCTGGAGCTAAGTATGGACCCAAACCCACCTTGTCTATATGACTTTACAATGTCAGTGGACTTTAATGAATATAATATTCCAAATGGATTAATACATTGGAAGAGATCTTCGCTTGATTGTGCTGGCATATACAGCTGTATTACTTTTTGGAGTTCAATATCTAAAACACATGATCAACGTCATGACATGATTGATTTGTCACACCTTGATTGCAAATCGACATTAAACGTGCATCCCTTTTCTCTCTGAATCTATTTTAAAATTAAAAGACAAGAACTCTAGATGCACATTATTTCTCTGTAGACAGTTTCAACATATTTTAGATCTATACCAGTTTTTTCAGGGGCAAAACTTATTAGAATGTTTGAAACGGAAACCCCTCCCCCCTTTTGACGTCATTTTTAAGGCCTCATTTGTTTGGACATTCTATGTAAAATTTACGATCATAATATTTTGTAGAACTTCCAGAATGAAGTGAAAATTTCATATTTTGTGGAACAATTGTGGTTCCCGACACATACCTGAATAAACGGGATTTGTAGATGTCAAATGATCATATCAAAAGAGTTTGTTTCAGTTACACATAGGTCGTGTTCGAGGTTGCGCCGCCTGGACAAACCATGGCTTACAAAAACATGACATCTTTTAAAAATAAAATTTATGATTTGTGGTTTATTTCGTAGATAGAAAAGATGATGTTAACTAAATATTTTTAAAATTCATTGGTGTGCCTAAAGCGATTTTAATTTTACGACGCTAGTCTACGAACTTTTTGATAACCCATCGTAAGTGTCTTGGTATTGTGCAAAACTTAATATAATGTTAAAGCTAGTTTTTACAATGTTGCGTTACTTTCCTGTATCGATGTCCGAAAATACATAAACATCCTCGTAGGTTACACTGTCCTTAATCCGATTGCCAGGTTTGTGTATTCTTACGGATTACACCTTCATATCCCGATTGGATTATAGGTCAGTGCACTTATCATAAGTACATTTTAATAAGCTTATTTTAATGATAAAAATAATTATCTCAAACCCGATATGTTTAAAATAGGCAAAGAGAGATAACTGCTGAGAATGTTACCATTGTAAACTGGCTGTGCAATTAGTCTTTTGGGATTATTTAACCTCTACATGAAGAAAATCCTAAGCATTATCTTTATCTGTCACATTGAGATTAATAAATGTACAGCCTCTCTCTGCAGATTAACTCTGTTTTGAAGTAGAGGTCAATTTTGAATGATGTGTACATTTTTGAAATATGGATTTAAAATGTTCAAACTTTTTTTGGTTAAAATACTGTATACAACGAACTATGAAAATTTTATTGAATTCTAAAATCAAGATATATATATTAAGATTTCTTTTTATTATTACTATTTTATATGTTTGTTTTGAAGTTGAGATCACCCCTGTGTTGTAATATTTGCATTCACTGAAGGCTTTCATTTTACCAAACACCTGCTTAAATCTTTTTAAAATGTGTATTTAATTTAGTTTTCTTTTTTATAAGACATGAGCCCAGAGGTTTTCCCTTTTTTATGAAAAGACAAGGTTATATCGACGACGTTTTGTAAGTTAAGAGTGGTTATTTTTATTCTTATGTCAAATGGATATATCCTGGTGAGCTTGAGATAAAAGATTCCACAGAGTCTGATACAGCTGTATACTTTTTAGATATTGTTCTTGAAAAAGACGAAAATGGTAATTCATCAAACAAGCTCTATGATAAAGGTGATGACTTTAACTTTCCAATCGTCAACTTTCCTTTTGCAACAATATACCTTCATCACCTGCATACGGAGATTATATCTCTTAGTTGATTCGATACAAAAAAGCATGCTCTACGTATGTGCAATTTCTAAAACGAGGTAAAATATTGACAAACAAGTCCATGAAACAATTACATCAGCAGTCTCGTTTAAATATCATTACGTAAGTTCAATTGATACCTTGTCAGCAAATGCATTTTATCATCGAATCAAATGCTGACAGATGTTTTTTTATAACAATTGTTAGTCCATTATTCATAAACTGAATTGAGGACGTATTTGTCCATTACTTCTCGATCTTGACAAGGAGCACAATGCGGGTGTGATCGGTCAGCAGGGCATGCTCCGTCCTCCATGGCACCTGAACACACATCTTTTGGAGGTCAGTGTTTGCTGTGCTCCTATTTGTATAGTGTAATGGATGTGAGCTTGAATATTATACAATTGAGGACTCTTTTGGTGTTGAATATGGTTTGTTATTCACCAGAAAAATATTGATATTGACCGAGGCGAAGCCGAGGTAAATATGGATATTTTTCTGGTGAATAACAAACCATATTCAACACCAAAAGAGTCCATAATTGTTTTATTTTGAATAAATAAGACATTTAAGGCTGAGTGACGACACCGTTTTCATTAAAGAACTTCCGTCGTTGAAAAAAAAATGTGCAGATTATATTTGTCATCTCCGTGTTTTCCTTTTCGAGTTTCGCTGTGAAAGACGTTCAGATGTTTAAAAATAATCCTTTATTAGGTCTGCATAATATTTTTCCTGCTCAGATACGAAGCTCGCTTCGGCTGTTGCAACTATTGTTTACAATGTTGTTTGAGTTGTTGATTGTGACGTCACAATGCCACTGCACGCGCATTGACCCTCCGGTAAATACGGCCTCAAATCCGGTGAATATGTAGTGTTATGAACTGTTTGTGTTTGTATACATTATATAGGGACTATAAATAGACTTTATAATAATGCTTTTTATATATATTTCTTTAATAGATACCTTACTTGATCTCACATAGCAAGAAAGGCAGGCAGTATATGCACACAAAATTGCAAATATGATTGTAGTTACAGATCAGAAATACAGCAAACTTTTCTATCCGTCCAGTAAACAATGTCACTTTGTGAACTGCAATTGGTACATTAGTAACATGCTCTACATTTTTAAAAGTCTAATATAAATTCATAATTGCAGACTTATAAATACTTTAATCTGTACTAACCAGTTACAAGTACCGATATATAGCATATTTTTGACATTTTTAAATGAGTTATTCTATGCTTTTAAGCATTTACATTGACTTTAATAATACATTATGAGAAAGAAACAGTTTTTCAATTCCTTTGATTTTGACTTTTGACCTACTTAACAAAGAATACCCTGAGCAATTTAATTTTACATAAGACTATTTAATTTTGAGTGGTGGGTGTTGATAATTAAAATTTATACATGTTTTTGATCTCAAAATACTATTCTTTGAAATTGTATGATTATTTTCAGCACCCATACAATCCGATATTTTAAAAAAAATTATTTATAAACATCGGGATCAGGATTCGAAAATGGATCGGTTAGAGTGACAACTGGTCAAAATATTTTGAAACATGTATTTTTATATGTAAAGTGATAAATACACATATAATTATTTATGATGACTTCAAGAAAATTATTCCTTTGAGGGTCTTATATTCTTTTAAATTTGGGATTCTCGGCATTTTTTTTAGTGCAGTAGTGTTACAAATTCCATATAGTGCCAAGCAATAAATATGCAAAATATCAAGTCCATATCTTTTACAGTTCTTGAGCTACAAGGTGTGACAGACGGACAGAAAGACAGATGCCGGAAGTAGTATAAGGGGACCCGATAGCCCGGAAGTGATGTCATAACCGGAAGTGGGCTAACCGGAAGTGGGCTAGCGGAAGCGGAAGTGGGGTAGGCGGAAGTGGGTTCCCTAGCGGAGGCGGAAGTGGGCGCGGAAATGTCCTAGCCGGAAGCGATGGCCTGGTCAATATCTAGGACATTATGCAAATGAGGTCAAAAATGGTGGATTCTGATTGGTTAAGGGGATAGGTGGGTCAAGGGAGTGCAGCCCCTGGGGGATAGCCGGGTCAAGCGAGTGCAGCCCCTGAGGGGGGATAACCGGGTCAAGAGAGTGCAGCCCCTGGGGGATAGGGGGGTCAACTCAGTGCAGTCCTTGGGGGATAGGTGGATCAGTAGATAGCTCCTGAATACGGTGTTTACACTATACATTGGTACGTTGGTACTACGTTTTGTTTATGCTAACTGCACAGGTAAATGCGCCGTGTGCAAAACATTTCAAGAATGTCATTATGACGTCACGCTTCACAGTCTAGACAGCCTAACCAGTTCAACCTGGATTTTCTGAAAACAATAACAACCTGGATTTTTTTTACTGAAAACAATAACAAATAACACACAATACAATAACAAGGGAATTTTATTCAGAATGAAAATACATACGTTTATATACCATTGGGTTGTTTTGGGCCGTGTGCTTCAATAGGTTGGGCTTACCTATTGATCCTGCTATGTACAGTTTTGTACACAGTCTAGTCAGCGAGCTTACCTATGCATTATTACATCATACACTTGTAAAATTAAAGTTTCATTTTCACTTTTGTTTCTAAGAAGTGAACTTAAATTTTCAGAAAATATAGGACTATTTCTTTTTGTTTTTTTCTCTCTTTTTCTATGATGATTGTCATGCTATGAAGCTTTTCTTGTATAAAGCTCAATTTCTCTATGACCACGGAAGTAAACATCCTGATGCATTCTTCTCATGTGAATGTTGAGACCATGTTCATTTTTGAAATCTCCTTTCTGACAAACCTATTCCACAGGTAAGTTTGTCTTATTTTTATTTACATTTCCTATGAAGATCATCTTTGCATTTAATCATGATTTATATGTAAAGTTCTGTTTTGAATGTAACCACCCTTAGGAAAGAGAGACTTGGAAGGAGGAGCCATGCTTACTTCTCATGTCTTTCAACTTGTTAATACTATGACGTCATTGAGTGAAGTTTCCCGACATCTGTCATTATGAATGAAATGACACGTGTCAAATCAATTCTTGAATGAAATGTTGACTTTCTTGTATGAAAGTGACTTGGATTATTGTTTTTAATGTGAATATAGACTCATAATAATATATGTTTCATACATGTTTCATAGAAGAAAATGACGTTTTCATTTAGGAATTGAATTGACACGTGTCATTTCATTCATAATGACAGATGTCGGGAAACTTCACTCAATGACGTCATAGTATTGACAAGTTGAAAGACAAGAGAAGTAAGCATGGCTCCTCCTTCCAAGTCTCACTTTCCTAAGGGTGGTTACATTCAAAACAGAACTTTACATATAAATCATGATTAAATGCAAAGATGATCTTCATAGGAAATGTAAATAAAAATAAGACAAACTTACCTGTGGAATAGGTTTGTCAGAAAGGAGATTTCAAAAATGAACATGGTCTCAACATTCACATGACAAGAATGCATCAGGATGTTTACTTCCGTGGTCATAGAGAAATTGAGCTTTATACAAGAAAAGCTTCATAGCATGACAATCATCATAGAAAAAGAGAGAAAAAACAAAAAAAAAATAGTCCTATATTTTCTAAAAATTTAAGTTCACTTCTTAAAAACAAAAGTGAAAATGAAACTTTAATTTTACAAGTGTATGATGTAATAATGCATAGGTTAGCTCGCTGACTAGACTGTGTACAAAATTGTACATAGTAGGATCAATAGGTAAGTCCAACCTATTGAAGCACACGGCCCAAAACAACCCAATGGTATATAAACGTATGTATTTTCATTCTGAATAAAATTCCCTTGTTATTGTATTGTGTGTTATTTGTTATTTTTTTCAGTAAAAAAAATCCAGGTTGTTATTGTTTTCAGAAAATCCAGGTTGAACTGGTTAGGCTGTCTAGACTGTGAAGCGTGACGTCATAATGACATTCTTGAAATGTTTTGCACACGGCGCATTTACCTGTGCAGTTAGCATAAACAAAACGTAGTACCAACGTACCAATGTATAGTGTAAACACCGTATTCAGGAGCTATCTACTGATCCACCTATCCCCCAAGGACTGCACTGAGTTGACCCCCCTATCCCCCAGGGGCTGCACTCTCTTGACCCGGCTATCCCCCCTCAGGGGCTGCACTCGCTTGACCCGGCTATCCCCCAGGGGCTGCACTCCCTTGACCCACCTATCTCCTTAACCAATCAGAATCCACCATTTTTGACCTCATTTGCATAATGTCCTAGATATTGACCAGGCCATCGCTTCCGGCTAGGACATTTCCGCGCCCACTTCCGTTTCCGCTAGGCAACCCACTTCCGCCTACCCCACTTCCGCTTCCGCTAGCCCACTTCCGTCCACTTCCGGTTAGCCAACTTCCGCTTCCGGCCACTTCCGGTTATGACGTCACTTCCGGGCTATCGGGACGCCTTATACTACTGCCGGATAAAGGGATCCCTTAGTGCGGCCCTGCTCCGCAGGTGACACAAAAATACATTATAGTTGGAACTGGTGTCATCTCCAAGTCCAGGTGAAATTGTTCTAGAGTAAACTATATTTGTGAAGTCTGCTGTTCGTTTTTGTTTTGAAAAATCCCGAAACATTCTGAAATTATGGAATGGGATTACTTGATAACGGATAGATGAAAAATAATCATGAATGTGTTGCTCGTAAAAGTAAAGTTGGAAGTGAACGCAGTTATGATAAGGCTGTCCGAGGGCTTAAAATGCCTTAAAAATATACATTTTATTTTGAGCTAGATTTTAATATAAATATGTAATCCATGTTTGAAATTGCAGTCAACTTGAGATAATAGTTTAATCAGGTTTTATTTAAAAGTATTTTTGTGATGTCATATGACTGTGTTGATCACGTGACGGAGATTTATGATATTCCTAACTGTTAAACAAAAATCGCTTCGGCACAAGTGCAAAACAAAATTATTGCTTTACTTGTAGGCCTTTTTATGTCAGATGCAAAAATAAAGAGAGATTTAAAACATACTGTTATTTAAAACTAATGGTCATAAATGATGTTATTGTAAAGTAATACTTGTAATTGTTCATGAAAAATGGATCTATTATACACATAACATGGAATACTTTGAAAAAATGTAATGATTACTATGCATTACCATTACATATCACAATTACCCTAGGTCTCTATCGAGAAAGCAAACAATATTCAAGCTCAAGACTCTTTGATAAAAGGTCGATGATACTACTTTTTTGTGTGAAAAAAAGTCGATAAATAACTTACCATAAATTTCCAATTCACATAAATCATTATAAGAATATTGTGAATAGTAACGTGGACATGTAACACCCTGTCTCCTCTCATTGTAATATATAACATAACGGCCATGTACAGGGCAGCTAATTGTCTGGTTCTCTGTCGGTGTACCGTTCACTTGATGTAATTCATGGAAACAAAGATAGCCTTCCTCCCTTCTTGTGGTATTAGAAACGTACACAAAAAATCCAGCAAAGCGATCGTAGAAAGCACCAGGACCTTGAAACAAAAAAAAATAAATAGCTGTAATTCAGATGAAAAAGATCGCAGAGCCACAAGGACATGAAACAGTCTCAAAAACATCCAAGAGATAAAGAGTTATGCTTCTCAGGGTCAACAGTTTTACATATAATTAAGATCTTTTTTTCAAGCAATTTAGTTAAATTGTGCCAATCTAGGATTTGGTTAGGAACGGTTACAGACATACTACATTGTACCTACTACGTAGCCATGTTCAAGAATCACGCACCAAAAAACCCTTTTCTTCTACTTACTTGGAAAATTATCCGTCCTGTAGAAAATGTTGATGTGGCTGATGCTGACTATTCTCTGTAGATCTACTCTCCACTCAGCTGTTGACTGACTTGGACCTGATATTGTACACTGATAGCCTCCAACTCCACGGTTTGTATATTGCCCGTCTACAGCCTTCGCAGCTCCCCAGGCTACAGGAATATCTGGCCAGTCAGTCTGTTGCCATGCTGGTTTATTCAAAGCTAAATTTTCTGTCGTAAAAAGACATTTTAATTAAGATGTATTATTACACACATCATTGTAAAACAACATTTATTTACTAACACTTAAAACTGGTTTTTAACTATCTAAATATTTTATATGCAGTATGTCACAACAATTATCATAGACATGTTTTCTTAACTTTCAATTGCAAGAAGTCAATGATTTCAAAAAATTTTTCTCATTTATTATGAATTAATATTAACTGCAGTCTTTTACCTGTGACGAATATTTGCAAACATCTAATATTCTTTCATTTAAATATTTAAGAAAATACATATTGACCGGATTTTAAAAAAAATTCTCTGTGAAATACAATAAATGGATGAATATTCTCCATTACATTTTTTTTCTTCATAATTATCATCTGCGATGTTTACAATTAGACTTTGATTTTAAAACCCTGAAGCACAAATGAAATTTAACATCCAAACTAGCCGCGTTTTGTTTTCATTAATAAAAATTATACAATTTCGTAGAAGGAAAAATACCATTTTAGGGGATGCACAAACAAAATAAGCTGAAAGATGTGAAAATCATATCAAAAGAATTAACAAGAGGCCCAGGGGCCACATCGCTCACCTGAGCAATTGGCTAGAAAAAAGCACGTATCAGATCAAAACTGAAAGTTTACTGAGGGCAGGGAGAGGGCTTGAATTTTAACCCCCCAGGGGGTCATGATTTGATCAATCTAGAATGTACACTACCTGAGGATGATTCCCTATATACATTTGTATTTCACTATGCTTGGCTTAGAAGTACTTGAAAAGAAGATTTTAAAAGGTTTCCCTATATATTCCTATTTAAATCTATTATCGGCCATTTGGCCCCAGCCTACCCCCGGGGGTCATGATTTGAACAAACCCAAATCTACACTACCTGAGGATGATTTCAGATGAGTTTCATCTTTCTTGTCTCAATGGTTCTTGAGAAGATGATTTTTCCAATATATTCTTATGTAAAACTTTGACCGGCCATTTTGGCACCACCCTACCACCGGGGGTCATGATTTGAACAAACCTAAATCTACACTACCTGAGGATGATTTCATATGAGTTTCATCTTTCCTGGCCGAGTGGTTCTTGAGGAGAAGATTTTTAAAGATTTTTCCTATATACATGTATTCCTATGTAAAACTTTGATTGGCCATTTTGGCCCCACCCTACCCCCTGGGGTCATGAATTGAACAAACTTGAATCTACTCTACCTGAAGATAATTCCACATGGGTTTCATCTTTCCTGGCCCAGTGGTTCTTGCGAAGAAGATTTTTAAAGATATTCCTTATGTATTCCTGTGTTAAACTTTGACCCCCCATTGTGGCCACATCCTACCCACTGGGGTCATGAATTGAACAAACTTGAATCTAAACTCATAGAGGATGCTTCCATATGAGTTTCATCTTTCCTGGCCCAGTGGTTCTTGAGAAGAAGATTTTTAAAGATATTCCTTATGTATTCCTGTGTTAAACTTTGACCCCCCCCCCTCCATTGTGGCCTCATCTTACCCCGAGAGTCATGATTTGAACAAACTTAGATTTACACTAATAGAGGATGCTTCCACATGCGTTTCATCTTTCCTGGCCCAGTGGTTCTTGAAAAGAAGATTTTTAAAGATATTCCTTATGTATTCCTATGTTAAACTTTGACCCCCATTGTGGCCCCATCCTACCCCCGGGGGTCATGATTTGAACAAACTTGAATCTACACTACCAGAGGATGCTTCCACATTGCGTTTCATCTTTCCTGGCCCAGTGGTTCTTGAGAAGAAGATTTTTAAAGGTATTCTTTATGTATTCCTATGTTAAACTATGACCCCCCATTGTGGCCCCATCCTACCCCCGAGGGTCATGATTTGAACAAACTTGAATCTTCTCTACCAGAGGATGCTTCCACATGAGTTTCATCTTTCCTGGCGTAGTGGTTCTTGAGAAGAAGATTTTTAAAACATGCCATTAATTTTTCACTAATTCATAATTATCTCCCATTGGAAAAGGGCTTGGCCCTTCATTTGAACAAACGTGAATCCCCTTCACCCAAGGATACTTTGTTGCAAGTTGGGTTGAAATTGGCCCAGTGGTTCTTGAGAAGAAGATGAAAATGTGAAAAGTTTACGACGACAACAAAGACAACAACGACAACGACGACAGACAACAGACAAATTTTGATCAGATTAGCTCACTTGAACTTTTGGCTCAGGTGAGCTTAAAAGCAATCATATTTCAATGAAATTTATGTTATAAAGCATATCACTAAAAGTTCACATAAACTGCAATATTTTTTATATTGTTTAGTTTAGAAAAAATCATTGAAATGTACAAAAAAAAGCTTATATACTTAATATAGAATATTTCTATAATAACGTCGATCATCCCGTGTCATCTATTAAATCAGATTGAACTTGATTCGATACTTAAATACATTCGAAACAAGAAAAATATTAGTGTTGTTTTTGATAGCCCTGCATTTATACATTCATAGTTTTTGAATTTTTGTACCACAGTATACACTTATTTCATGACTACGAGGGGAACAGTTTGACTGTTTCCCGAGTTGTCATAAAATAAGTGTTTTATTACCTAACCTACTATATAATTTCTTTAAATGAAGATATAGATATAATAATCAATGGATTTTTAGAATAAATCGGCCAAATATTTATTTCTTGAAATCAAACTTAACAATAGACACTAATCAAATTCTCACGCTGATTGGTTTAAAATCAATACATTAATAAGATTACAATTTATCAGTGCCTCATTTGTAAACAACATAATAATGTCTTGAAGTTTGAATATTACATGTTGAGTTGGAGTTTAGATCTATAATGAATGAAGGGTCCTACTTCTTTCCCAAACTACCTTCAGAAAAAGTGTTCTTTGCCTCTTCTTTGAAGTGATATTAAATTAAACATTTATTTATATAGATATCAGGATTACTTTTCAGATGAAATTTCAAATTGAATGCCATTAAATTGCTTTATATTATATACATAATTCAGTGTAATATAGCTGTAAAGTAGGGGAAATTGTTGGAAATCTCTCAAGCCCGCAGTGTAATAATGTAAATGTGATGGGACTTTTCAACAATACTCAGAGACGTAAGCGTAGTCATGGACATCGTTCGTACAATAAACCTGCAATACACGACGTCTCTTTTGATTCATTACTACCTTATGTAAATCAACAGTTAGGTCTACATCATTTTCGAACAAAACTTTACTCTGTCCCTTTGAAACTTTTAAATAGTCTTCTTGAAAAAGGCCAAGGAACATTTTTAGATTTTAGATTCATCGTCACCTGAATATAGGCTCGGATCTGTGATTATGGATATTGCATATCATAGGCTTTTTAAACCCGCACGTTTCACGGATGAAAATGCAGCTAAAACAGTCCGTCTTTTCCTTAAACTTCAATATGCCAATAAAGGAATTGACGCGGTTAATATAAGTAATATTCTTAATCACAAAAGGGTCAAGTCTTGTATTCCACCATATTTCAAGTTAAAGACTACACCTTGTATTTCCTACAAATATACATCGACCGCTGCTTCCAAACTTAAATATTTTTAATATTCCACAGAGCCAAAATGAATTTAAACTACCTTATATATATTGGATGCCGAAACTTCATAAGATACATTGCAGGTTCCAGTAAATGTTCAACCAAGCCTTTTTCGTTACTTCTCACTAAAATATTGACAGTAGTGAAGGAAAAACTTCAAGAGTACTGTGCAACTATATACTCAAGAAGTGGTGTAAATCATTTGTGGATACTTAAAAATTCTAAAGAACGTTTGGACAATTTGAAATCACAAGACTTCACAAAAATCAACAGCTTAAAAACTTACGACTTTTCAACTTTATACACAACGATTCCCCACGGCAAATTAAAATCCAGGCTTTTTGATATCATTGACAGCTGCTTCTTCAACAAAAATGGAACTCGTAAATTTACTTACCTCGTCATTGGTCATTTGAAAAATTATTTTGTTAAAACAGATTCTGATTGCACACATAAGTACTCTGAAGTTGATATCAAGAAGATGCTTGAGTTTCTGATTGACAATATCTATGTGGTTTTCGGAGACCAGGTATTCCAACAATCCCATGGGTACAAATTGCGCTCCGTTTTTAGCAGACTTATTTTTATATTCATATGAAGCAGAATTTATACAAAATCTTATGCGTGAAAAGAAGAAAACACTTGCTGTGGCCTTCAACTCGACATTTAGATATATCGACGACGCATTGTCAATTAATAATGGTAATTTCAATTCCTATGTTGATACGATATATCCTGGTGAGCTTGAGATAAAAGATACCACTATGTCTGACAAATCTGTTTCATACTTGGATTTTTTTACTTGAAGACGGTAATGGTAATCTAACAACAAAGTAATATGATAAACGTGATGACTTTAAGTTTTCTATCGTCAACTTCCCTTACTTATGCAGCAATACACCTTCATCACCTGCATACGGAGTATATATATCTCAGTTGATTCGATACGCAAGAGCGTGCTCTACGTATGAACAATTTCGTAAACGAGGTAAATTATTGACAAGCAAGTTGATGAAACAAGAATATCAACCGTCTCGTTTAAAGTCATCATTTCGTAAATTCTATGGTCGATACAATGACCTTGTCAGCAAATACAATTTATCATTGAGTCATATGCTGACTGACGTTTCTCATACCAATTGTAAGTCCATTTTTATACACTGAATTGACGACGGATTTTTTCCTTTATTTCCTGATCATGACAACGAGCACACGGCGGGTGTGACCGGTCGGCAGGGGATGCTCACTCCTCCATGGCACCCGATCCCACCTCTGATGTTTCAGAGGTCCGTGTTTGCTCTGCTCTTATTTTGTATATTGTTTAATGAACGTTGAGATTGAATACGGTTCGTTATCTCCATATCCTTCCTCATTATGACGCCATAATGGATATTTCAGCCAGGCAACAGTTAATTTTGTGGCCCGGTCAACAGTTCGACTGTTTCATGGTCACGCAAAAGCATAAAATGAATCGTGAAAACAGTTTACTTGTTTTCTTGACAGATACTTTATCGATCTTTCCGATCTCCATCTTAGATTCTTATCCGATTAAAAAACAAAACAAAATAAATGAAACTGCATAGCTTGAAAAAGAAATGTACACTAGGTAAAGCATTGTGAACCAATTTTAACTCAAAAGGATCATTACAAAAGTATTCGATCTGAAAAAGAAAAGACGAATTTTTTGGTCGATATTTCATGCTTTCATTTTTTTTCTTTGGAGTACTAAAAAAGCGTATTAAAATAAAATATTTGAAGAAACGTCCAATAAACTAAGAAAGAGTAATGGGGCGGGATCGGAGTCGAGGCCATAATTACCTTTGAAAAAGGTAACCTAAAATGTCCATAATATTTTTAAATCTTACCATAAGATTTCGTACAATTTACAAGCAGAAATATAAGGACAATGCCAATGACCATGTCGATCTGCCTTTTTTCTATTAAAAAAAATAAATATCTATATATCCATCACTTGCATGTTTTACATGTATGTTTTTTTGGTCTTTTACAGTAATTCATTGCTTCAAAAGAACTTATGCGATTGTTAGCTGCGAAACAATATTCCGACCCTTTATTCCCCAATATTGTAGGGTTGCCCGCATGGTGCATTGGTTAGAGCGTTTGCTCTTGAGCCGCGAAGGGCTAGATGGTTGTGGCCATTTTTAGACTATATCGACCCCCTTAGAAGAAGAGCTTTATATAAAGATATACAAAAATGGTCAATTTTTAAAACTAAAAATTTATGAAATTTGTCTTTGCCAAATGATATTTGACAGCTTTAGATATATCTTTACTCTAGAAAAATGAAGTTATATCTGGCTGCCAATTTGTTGATCCCCTAGACACCTCGGAGGGCCTCCATCCCCAAAACTTGAAAATTTATGTTTGGAAAGTTAAGTTTTTTATTTTATTTGTTAGGGAAACATTGAAATGATAAATAAATATAGAAACAACTTAAGTATAGGTAAAGATCGAATACACATGAACAACAAAATTTATATCAAATTAAATAAGATTTATGAATTTTTTTTAATTGAAAAGTTTCAATACACCTTCCAATCATTTGGCGAATCCAGTTATTACAAATTTGTCTAGAAAAATAATTAATATTAAATACTCATAGTAAGTAACTTCAGTAAAATATAAAAGGCCCTTTGTACCTTAAAGGTCACCTTAAATTTACGATTTTGAAAGAGGCGCATTGCTTAAAATTACTATACATTTAGCGTACTAGATGTAAATCAGAGTTACAAAGAGAAAATGTATTTCCACTTTATAACCAGTTATGCACCCCACCCACAGTAATCACTGACACTGGGGACACAGATGTTCAAATTTAGGAAATTTCATCCTAATTTTTTTAATAATATAATAGCTGATTAATACCAAAGAGCAGATTTCAAAGCAATTCAAAAGAAATCAAAGCATTAATTTACTTTTAACCTTCCTTGTAGCTATGTACATAGGTCATTGGTTTAATAACCTTAAGCAGAGAAGATTTTCATTGAATTTATTCATTTTCACCATATAATAAATTTAGCCCCACCCTTACTCCACAACTCCTTACCCTTGGGTCGTAAAATTCACAATTTGGAAAAAGGAATTGTTAGTCAATATAATTTTGGAATGATTAGTATATATAATACCAAGAGGCAGAGAAGAATATTTTTAAAGTTTTTTTTTTATTTTCACTATACATTTATATTTAAAAGAGCCACGCCCTATCACCAGAAGCCAAGAATCAGGGGCCATAAAATTATCAATTTTGGAAGATGAGCAAAGAACTAGATTTTTAAAGAATTCACGCATTTCACTATAAAATCAATAGAGTCCTGCCTTAACCCGCTCTAACACCAGAATTCCCGACCAAGGGGCCATTAAATTCACGATTTTAGAACAGGCTTTCTTGCTCATAACTATGTACTTGGATAGTTTAGTTAATGCCCAGGACCAGAGAAAATTTTCAAAGGAACAATGTATCTTCACTATAAAATCTATTTAGCCTCGCTATAGCATTAGAACCCCTGAACCTGGGGCCATGAATTCACAATTTAGGTAGAGGAATGAATGCTGATTCGATCATGCCAACAGTTTGACTGCTTGGTGTTCAGGCCTCAGGGTCACCAAACAAAACTAAACTTAAGTCAAATCTCCAATCGCCTGTAAATATCTATTAATTATAGTATTTATTTCCAAATTTGCAAATCAGAACACCTCTGTGAATTAATATTGGAAAATACTTTAATTTTGGTCTGCTTGATGTCTACAGCATTTATTATTAAATAAAGATTTCTCTTTAATCTTAATGTCTTTTGATCCTGAGGCCGGGAGTAAAGAAGAAGATTTTAGAAGATTGCATAAATTTTACTGGTTTTGTCCCCACCCCTCAAGTCCCAGGGGGCAGGGACCATGAAATTTACAATTCTTGTTCCCTTCACCCATAGATGATTTATGTCAAAATTGGTTGCAGAGAAGAAGCTGAAAATGTTCAAATGATAAGACACACGACGAACGAAGACGGAAAGCAATAGACGAATTTCACATTCAGAAGAGTTATCTCCTTTTGTCGGGGTAATGCTCATTTTCCCACTTTGTTCTTTGTAAGTTACCTGTAAATATTTTCAAACGTTATCGAACAATTGCGATCTGTACCTGTATTGCCAGAGTATGGGGCAACATGAAAAACATGATGAATAATTATTTTTATACAGATTTCATTTGTAGGTTGGTAAGGGATAGAGGGGAAACTGTGCCTAACGCCGGTTGACCCCAGATTGACCCTGCAAAAGGGAATAAAATGTTGTGAATGTGAAAGTCATCTGTAGGTCACCTGAGTTTACTCAGGTAACCTAATAACAAAATAGACTGATAGTACTAGTTTACCGTATATTAAACAAGGAAAATATATCAATCGAAACAAATACATGTTTACTCGATATGTGAATGGGAAGTGGATTCCTCAAATTAAATTTAAAAAATGAAATCTAAAGTAATGTTAATTACTAACCTTATAAAAGAATAACTTTTTGTCGGTGTCCTTATTATGTAAAGAACTCTTTTAAAAGTGTATTGTCATCCCATAAAACTATATGTTGGTACATGGTACGAGCTTTTTAAACCTCCTTGGTGTATTTTCATGCATACATGTACGATTGTAGAGTTAAAACAGCCCTTGTAACTTTTTGAGAGGTAATCTACGGAATTTGCCTTTTACTTACACAGGGGTTGAAACAATAATGAAAACTCCGATAAGAACATTTTAAACCAGTTTACCTCTCAGTTTAATTGAATAAATAATATTGGCTGGTGTAATTCAATAAAACCTTGTGTCGTTTGACTCTACCTTATCACAAATGAAAAGACTTCTTTTTTGTGTGTTATTTTAAAGAGGCTTATTATGTAAAAAGGATAAAAAAATTTAAACAGCAATTTACTATTTTTGACAGGTTTATTTTGCAAAGGTTCGTGAAAAAAACAAATGAATTGAAAACAATTTTAATAGTCGGAGTTGATGACTTCAAATGTCATTATAAGAACTTTATGAGAACTTAAGTGTTACAGGGTTCAGATACTTAAGGTTCATAACCTCTCTGCTTACTCATAAAAATATTGATTTAACTCTAATCTCCAATTACTCTAAAAAATGTATTATATCACTGAAAATAAAAACATTAAAAGAATAGTTTGAAGGGGATCGGATAAAATATTCATTTCAACTTGTCAATTTTATTTGGAATCATACACATTTAAGCTTTTATAAGTAATCAGTTTAATCATACTTGATGAACCTAAAATAGATCATTTACGTTTTTTTGTTTTGTTTTGGCCTTTAAGAAGAAAATTATATCAGCCTGACTAGAGTAGAAAACAACTCTGGACGTCCTATCTGTAGCTTTTGTCCGGCAGTGAAAATGTCAACCTCCCCGTCCATGTACACCTGTTGTATTACATTGTAAACCGCACAGAATACACCACACAGGACTTTACCATTGCTGTTAGGTAAAAGAAAATACATGTAGTAGGTCTTCAGATCCATACAAACGTCTTCATCTGATTTGTGGTCAGTTAGCAGGCGCAGGAAATATACAGCGTCCCCTGGTGGAGGGTAGTGCATCACAATGATGATTTTGTTGTTCACATTCATGTACGACTAAAAAGGAAGACAAATTTTTTTCTTTTTTTTTTTAGCAAGTAGGAGACAATCTCTCCCCAGAGTTGTCGTTCGCTTCGCTACAACACTTCTGTCAACGTCTATATGCCAAGATTCTTGGCAAAACTTACTTTTATCTATTGCGTCATAAATTATGAATCTAAAACATCTATATTCTTGCATTTAACATTTTAAAAGAAAGTTTATTTAGGAGAATTAGAATCAGATATCGCATTTTCACTATATCTTATAAGGGATTATATCTCGGAAGGATATTACGAACGTGGAAAATTTTAAACGTATTTCCGATAAATATCTACATGGTTTTGTAGACAAACAACTTGCAGCATTGACACATATATAGAAATTTTAAAATTGTTAATCTTCCTGTGGGTCACTTACAACAACATTTGAAAAATAATGACGTTCATCCGCTTCCGTACTACTTTTTAGACGTTCACAGACGTATCAGTGGAACAATAACTCTGGGTAGAGATCGAGTAAGAGATTGTAAAAATTTTTCACATTGATATTTTTAGGGAAACAAAATAAACATTGAAAAATGTTTATCAATAACAGTTTTTTAATGTGAAGTATCCATTTTAACAACTAGATGACAAATTCAATTTTTTCGAATATAATTATTTAGAAATTGTTTGATTTGAAAATATTAAAACATATACTAAGTGGTAAATTGATTGGACAACTAGCATAGCCTATACGAGCCTGCTCCGCAATGACGCTTCAGTGAGTTACAATCAAAGTACTGAGAGAAATGATAGCTGGGTTTTAACTGCTCGAGTATATTCTCTAATCCGATATTATAAATTATATACATGTAATATTATTATATATGATATATACCTGCCTATATTTATAAGAGAAAAATCGTAATTTCTGGTCCTCTAGAAAACCATTGTTAAAATGAATTTCGTAACGTGACTTTGTCGTATTTTCGTAAATAAAGTCGTATTACGCGGACAAAGGTTTGATGATTTACAGGAACTGAGACAGCAAGTGTTAAATATTATTTTACATATTAAATCTGAACAGTGTAAACATTTTTGATTACTGTTTAAAGCGACATCAAAAATGCATGGAGTTAAACAGTGACTGTGTTACACGTTTCATAGAATTTATCAATAGTTATTAGTAATTTTGAATGTTGTCCAAAAATTTTACGGACAAACCTCGATCTTATAGCATGATTTATGGTTTTATGACTTAAAAGGAACTCCTTCAGGGACCAGATCTGACGAGTAGTTTGTTTGGAATATCTTTTGTATTCTC